TCATTTAAATAATAATTAAATAATTATTTAAAGATAATTTAACAACAATAACAAATAGACGGCACAGGCCGTCAACACAGACGACCACGATGGCCGTCTGTTAAACAGACGACACAATTGTCTTCTTCCCTTGCAGAGGCGAGCTCTGCCCGGAGATCGCCATTTCGGCAACCAAACCTTAAAAAAAACTTAGTTTTTACTAATTTTACAAAGATTTCTACTACTATTTTTAATAAAATAAACCTTTAACATAGATTAATGGGGGAAAAATTATGCAAAACTTACTTTCTTCGCTTCTAAAGGTGGCCAGTCGGTCTCCTCCCAAGAAAAATTTGTCGGTTTCCTTTTTTTTCTTTCCCTTCTTCTCCAAACATCGGTTTGAGAGTGAAAATGTTAGGGGCAATTTTGGGTTTTCAATGTTTTTAAGGTTTTTACAAATTTTTGATTTTTTTTTTAAACAATAGTCAACAGCCATTTTGAAAAATTGTATATTTTTTGTGGCTATCTGCCACCATTTCCTCCCCATCAAAATACTGGATTCAAAAAATGGAAACAAACCATTTGACATTTAGTCCCAAACTCCAAGGATTCCACAATAAATTTGAAACATTTGAAACTACGATTGCAATTAATTCTTTATTTCTTCTTCTTCTCTGTTTATTTTATTTAAAGGGGAGAGTATATTCATCATTTCACAAAATTTAATTAAAAAATAAAGAAAATGTTGTATCCCACACAAAAAATGTCATATAGGGGATATTTCGTCATAATGAAAAGAAGGGGTACTCTACAATAAGCGTAGGGATGGGGGGGTGGGGGTGGTTGTGCCATTTACCCTTTTGCGAAAATAGATTTTGTAATAGTAATTTTTTAAAGAATGTGTGATTAAAAAATGGGAAGTCTAAAGTTTCGTGTAATTTTATTTTGCAGCGTCAAAAAGCCAATTATTATCTGACTTCTGAAAGCAGTAAAGTAGAAATTTTTTTAGCGTGATTAAAAAATGGGAAGTCTAAAGTTTCGTGTAATTTTATTTTGCAGCGTCAAAAAGCCAATTATTATCTGACTTCTGAAAGCAGTAAAGTAGAAATTTTTTTAGCTTTGTGCCTTTGTTTTGTTCTTCTCCGTGTCTTTTACTGTGCATTTTAGGCATTTTGTAACATCACAATAAATCAGCGGGGTGTCTTTTACTAATCCATTTTAACTTTTCATGTTGGGCATTTTCCTCTTGCCTCTACTCAAATTCTCTTTCTTCCCTGTATCTCTGTCAATGTTTATAGTGCTGCAAAATTCTTGGTGAACGGAGAAGTATTTAATAATCTTGCGAACATTAAATGAAGAGCGAGTTGTATTTCAGCAGCATACATGTTAGTATACTCCTTTTTATTGGATCTAAACTGAATACTAATTCGCAACTAGTTGGTCAAGACAGTAGAGGAGACTAGAGGTGTAAAGATGGCTCACATATTGAAACATCTACTTATAAGTTGTGACGCAAAACTGAAATGGTGACATGACAAAACCTGATTGGCCAATTCAATAAATTTTTTGCATTATTCACTTTGCAGTCTAGTTCATAAAATTCATAGTGCCTATTTTGGTCCACTCACAACAGTACTTGAAATAGAGATATTTACAAAAACATTATGGTCCATTCATGCCATGAATCCACTCCAATTGGAAGAAAATGTCTCAAGATAAATTGAAAGCTTTCTACTTCTGAAGCTGATTTTTGCTCTAAGTTAACCATATATACTTGTATCTAATATCACGCGATAACAGAATTGTAGATCTTGTTATACACGATAACCGGGAAGATAAGTTCCAAACTCTTGACTAAGTCATAAGCAAACTGTAAGCCGGCCCAGACATTCAGACTGCTGGAGCAGCACGATTAGCTTTGTGAGCTGGCAGTGTTGTGGCTTTAGTAAAGTACATGTAGTAATAGACGTTAAGGATCATGGTTCCAACCACGAAGACTGCTCCAGAAATGAATACACCTTTTCGTAATGCATCACATGAAAAGTTTTCTGCATAGACCATATTTCGATATTTGGTGTGATAGGCATTATTCTTTGCACCAGCTATTAGACATGCTTCTGCCACCAGGAATGTCATCCTGCAGAATTTCATTTTTTTAAAAGAAAGATTTAAATGTCACTCTTGCCAGAATTTTTACATGTAATTTATGTAGGATCCAGGTGTTGAAAAAGATGAAGCAATCCAAAACCTCACCGCAGCTAAATATAAAGCAGTGAAATAAAACGATGAAAATGAAAAAGAAGAGAAAAAAGGAATTAAAATTTTCACTAAAGAAGATGGGTGGATAATATGCAGTATCTTACCAGGATGATACAAAATATATTATGGTCCAGGCACGGTTCCCCCCAGGTGCTAAAGGTCTTCCAAAACACATGCATTTTGTCACACCCATAAGCAGTGACTCACTTGAGAGAAGAAACAAGAAAGCCCCCACTCCATATCCAGTGGCGACATCTGACTCATAAACACAGTATGTTCGATTGGTGAAATCATCGTTATGTAGTACTCCCTGCCATACAAGAGAAAAGTTAAGTATGAATATCATGCCCGAAAGAGTTACCATTGCATGAGAATTATGAAATGAAACAATTTCGAAGTACAGAAGACGAATCCTGTCCATGCCCTCCTCCCAGCCATAAAAATAAAAATGAATTAAATGAAAAATAAGAGAATAGGTTCAATTGGTCAATATTTTTAAATGTAGACTATGGTTCTGTTCTGCAGCAGAAGCGTTTGGATTACAGATCGACAAGAGATTTTCAAAAACCTTTAAGAAAAATTACTAGAATCCCACTATCCTTTCTCTTATATCGGCATCGGACAAAAGAATAATAATCTCCTAATTTACTGCTAATGACAAAATAATGATCTCCTAAAAAAAGAAGAAAACAATCTCCTAATAAAACCTGCTTCTAATAGATCTAAAGTCCTATTAATCAACAAAGTAAGAAAATTAATAACAACAATAATAATATGATCCTAATAACTAGAAAAAAAGAAGTTTATTTGCATTTTCTACTTGTAGTGATTTAGATGAACCCAAATCTAAATCTGAATAGTCCTTCCTGCATTCTCCTTGTATTGTTATGTCAAGGAATAAAGAATACTCGTGTAGCATTAAAGAAGATGGAAGTTGAGTAATTTCTTGCTCAGCATCAATACACAAGGAGCATCACGGTGAGGTTCCTTGGGCATCCAGATATAGTCACTATTGCTGTGTAGCTAGTGACTGTATACTCTTGTGGACAATATGGGTATGTTTATCTAAGCCAAGGATTGTAGGTATCAAGTAAAATGGTTAGGTTTAGCAAAAAGAAACATATAACCACAGGCAAAATGACTGTTGATCCAGGACTCGTCAAGGAAGCTAACAAAGGGAACCATTCTCAATTTCTTATCCAGCAATGCATACAAAGATTAGGACTTCTACTTTTCCAAAGGAAAATATTGCCCTGTGCCATTCATCTTCAAGAAAATTGGGGTTAAGTGATCATAGATTGCTAAGACAAGAACTTAGCTGAAAGGTTTAATCGGAAAACCAGTCAAACCTAGAGATCAGATATCTCTCAAGGACAAAAGTCGTCAGCACCACTGACTTTACAAAATTCTGCCCCATGGATATACCTCTGGGGTATTAAATTTTCACCAAGCACCTGTGTTTACATGCTCTTAGGATAATGCCTTCCCCATTTCACTAGAGTATTCATTTCCCGTGAATGGAGAGGGTCAGCGAAAATGACTTCATTGACAAAAGAACCTATTGCATGAGCTGGAGGACATTTGAGATCACTGACATACATGATATTCAGTGGAAATCATCACCCATCACCTCAATTTGGACCACAACATCCCCCCAACGCAATGGAACATAGACAATTCACACGTTGAGAAACCATTTTGTAAGAGGTGTAGAGGCCTCCAGAGAAAGGCTTCATTAGCGAAGTCCCTAACTCGAACTAGACAACAAACATGCTAGTCATGAGGCAAAAAATTGGAAGTGGAGAGTCTGCATTGAATTTGATCAAAATATAAGGAGAAATAATAGAAAGTGGAGAGTGCATCGATTCTATATTTGAAAAGGTCCAATGGAAAGAACAATTTCCCATTTACCCAATATTGACAAGTCCTAAATGATTATAATAAACTAAAATAAGCTAACATAAATCACACAATATTTATTCATGATGTATTAAAGACGTCTATTATTCTCATACTCATTCCCTATCATTTCTCCTCGACTTAGAGAATTGACTCTGACGAGGAAAACTGCAACCTCTCATCCGAGGAAGCCGATCTCTCTTCCTGACCAAATAACGTTACTGTCCATACAATAACAACCAATTTTGAAAGTTATCCTCAATAACATCATCTAAGGGCGATCTTTCCTTCGGATCAAATATTGACAATGAACTCCAAATAGCAAATATCTATGCAATTCATCCACAAAAATATTGACAATGAACTCCAAATAGCAAATATCTGTGCAATTCATCCACAAAAACTACAACTAAATCCACATAACGAAGCACGATGCAGTAGCAAGGTAAATTGACCTGTAGAAACAAATGATTGCAATATTGTAAGCTTGAATGAGCATGTTAAGGAAACAATTCTGCTATATTGAAAGCAAAATTTTCATTCAAGTGTGATTGCCAAACAATTAAAGGAGCATGAACTTCATGTGATTGATTAAGAAACTTTTTCTTAACATGCATAGGATAACGTAGTAAAGAAACACGTATCAAAACATAAAAATCCCCATTGAAGTATCTATGCCTACCATGCACATTTAAAACAAGCGCATAACTTTCATTTATTTATAATACTTTCCCATGTAATCTTATCATAAAAATGAGGAATAGGGACAATAGAAGCCGGAGTTGAAACTATACGACGATAATTAGTAGGCAATAGTCTAATGTCAATAGGAAAAGTATGCAAACGAACAATCGCATGATAAAAATTGGCAACTCAAAAGGTATCATTCTATTGAGATGATACCACAACAAAGTCAGAGTAACATAAACAGTAGGGTATAACAATTTTGGCACTAAGTCAAGAACATAGAATGTCTAGTTAGATGGCAACTCTTTATGTAATTCCTCAATTGTGTCTTTGTTAATTGTGTCTATCAAATGTGTGATCAAGAGAGGGGACATAATACAAAGCTCAAAACTTTCATTCTATCTATCAGAACATTTTAAAGGATCAACTATAAAAATCTCATGTTTGTTACATATTGATGTATCCAAAATCAGTTTTTAGACGGGAATATGATTTCGACACAAAGTTTCTATAAGATCGTCACCATGATAATGAGGACACAAGGTTTGTTAGTAAAGACTGAAGAGTTGGGCACATGAGGAACAACACAATTATTGAAACTTGGCTTATCAATAGCCTTAGAAGATGTTTGCTGAGTTGATTCGAGATGAATAGCATGATGTTTCGGAGAAAACAAGCTAGGATGAGACTATTGACATTCTCATGGCAAAGGAGGCACATGTCTCTTGCAAAATTGACAAAATGTTCATATTGTAATGCCTTGCAGTAAGCTTCTCCTAAGGACTTTAGAGAAAATATAAATGATATGACACTCAATCTCAGAAATCAACCCATTTACAGATCTAGAAGTTGTGATATGATGATCTTCATAAATATCACAACTATTTAATATCTCCTCGAAGTGTGCCATATATTTTCTAACAGTGGACTTAGTTCGAGAATAGGCAGGTGCATATTCGTCAATCAGAATTCATTTCAGTCATCCTGTGAAGTTTTAGGTTTCTAACTTAGACGAACAATGTTATGCAATACCGATTGCCAATGAAACCTAGCAGACCCTACGAGTAGCATACTATCAAGATGCAAACATCAAAAGTCGTTCAAGTTATGCAATTGAAAGTATTTTCCAAGAATATCAAACCAATCAAGAAATGTTTTACGATCCGAGTCCATCAAAGTTTTGTACTCCTAAATCGACTTTTCTAGTAGAATAATCAACCTTCTCAACATAGTTTATAAAATGGTGATGATAATCTAAGAAACATGAAATCGGACGCGTAATTCAAATAAGATATGATACAATTATAAAAATACAGCTTTTTAAAAAAATAGGATTTATAAATACGAGTTTACTCAATAATAAATTCTAACTATTACAATGCATTAAGCCCTCTTTATACAGAGTTTCAAGTAAACTAATTTAAGAAACATCTAAAATAATCCTAGACAGTCTATAAAATAAAATCCTAATTTAGGCCAAACTAGAAGACTACAATAAGCTAAAATAATTTATCACAAATCAAACTATTTTTTGTTATTAATATAATCTCTATTATTCTTATTCTTATTCTAATTCTAATTCCCCATCTCATATCCAAAACATCAAGATGTTACAATCAGAATTTGAGGGTCCATAAAACATGCATTATAGTCACTAGATGACACCAGTGTCACATAACTTCAATTTTGCCAGCAATTCTCGAATTTTATAATAAAAGTTGCAAGTTAGCAAAAACCAATACTCATGAAGTTTCATGCTTCTGTCTCTTCCAAAGACCATAAACATAATCACCAAATAAATCTGTCAAGTGCAGACACAGCTTCAAAGTACAACAACAATTCCCTTGCTAAAACATACTAAGCATACTGCATATATATAACTAGAAACCACAAAATCGCACACATCACAACTTGCAGAAGCTATCCCTAGCAAAATTATTCGGTATTGTTCCATAATCCCAATTACAGGAAAACCTAAATTGCAAAACAACCAACACCAAAGCATACAGTTTCAAGAAACAAAACATCTGTTACAAAAACCACAATAAAAGAAAGAAATAACGACATTTCACTGTGATCTACAAACCCAACTTAATTCTTGTTCAAAAGTATATGCAACGACACACACACAGAGAGGGCTTACAGTGCTTCGGCGGCGCTCCGCAGCAATTGCAAAGCCAAATGCCGTTAAGCTCAAGACTATGACAAGTAAATGAACTAGCGTCGACCCTTTTCCTTGCCCCATATATACTTCACTTTGCTATGCGAGAGTGTCTGTGTGTAAACAGACAGAGTAGTCGAGTGAGATGTGTGAACTTTTTCTTTGCTGTGTTGCCGTTTCCTTTTTTTTTTCCTTTTTTTTTTTCGGTTGCAAAAAGTGGGAAAAGATAAAATCACATCGAAAGCATCTGAGGCAGTGAAAGTTGTCGGAATCTGAGTCCCATGTGAATTACAGCCGAGTCACTTACACGAGCAGGTCAAAGGAACGGGAATTTGAGCAGCCTAGTGTGCCCCCACAGTGACTGCTTGTTACGAGAAAAGTGGAAATCATTTGTGAGAGAAGAAGTCAAATTTTACAACTGAAATAGAGAAATAACGATAAAAAAAATCAAATTTTTTGAATAAAAAACACTCCCAATCAAGTTCTTAGTAGGGATTTTGATAATTGATTTTTTGTCCGTTAAAAATAAAGTGGGTTTTACTTGTGAGAGAAAAATTCAAAAATGACTACTGAAATAGTGAAATAATGGTCAAAAAGTGATTTTAATTAGTTTAAAATTTGTACCAAACAAACTCTCATTAACATGAGATTTTTTGAAAAAATAAATTTAGAAATAATGAATTTTTTAAGAATATCTATATCTATAATAATAATAATAATAATAATAATAATAATAATAATAATAATGTATCACATCAAAGGAAAATCATTTTTTGTATATATATGTGTGTGTGTGTCCTTTTATGAAAGTCGTGTTATTAATTCTCAATTAATTAAAATTCACATTAATCTAAATTTAATGAATTTTTACTTAATGAATCTTGAATTATATAAGTCTAGAGTTATTATATATGAATTTATTCATATTTATGTATTTAGAAATTTTAATGTGTGTTTAAATTTATGTGTACCTTAATTTTCATTTTTCGATAAGTAATAAATACTACATAATTATTGTCCTTTTATGAAATTTGTGTTATTAGTTCTCAATTAATTAACATTAACATTAATCTAGATTCAATGAATTTTCACTCGATGAATCTTAAATTATATGAATCTAGAGTTATTATAGATGAATTTATTCATATTCATATATCTAAAAATTTTATGGGTGTTTAAATTTATATGTACATTACTTTTTATTTTTCGATATGTAACAAATACTACATAATTATTGTCATTTTATGAAATTTATGTTATTAATTCTCAATTAATTAACATTTACGTTATTCTAAATTCAATGAACTTTCACTTGATGAATCTTGAATTATATGAATTTAGAGTTATTATAGATGAATTTATTCATATTCACGTATTTAGAAATTTTAACAGGTGTTTAAATTTATGTATACCTTGCTTTTCGTTTTTCGATATGTAATAAATACTACATAATTATTATCCTTTTTATGAAATTTGTGTTATTAATTCTCAATTAATTAACATTCACATTAATTTAGATTCAATAAATTTTCACTTGATAAATCTTAAATTATATGAATCTAGAGTTATTATAGATAAATTTATTCATATTCATGTATCTAAAAATTTTAATGGGTGTTTAAATTTATGCATTAACAATTAATTTTAATGTGTCAAGTGTAACATTAAAAAATTGCTCATTTATAGTATTTCATTATTACAAAAAATTTGAATCATAGAAATTGAGTTTTAAAAGTACAATTCTCTACTCTTAACTTTCTATGCTAAATTTTATTTTCTTTAATTCGTCCGATATTTATCAAATCATCCAACTAATTGGTACCAAATATTACTTTTTATATCACTTATAAAGTATTTTAAAAGAACGTGCAATGCACGTTTAACTTTGACCAATATAATTAAAAAGTAAGAAAAAAATATTAGATTTATGTATAATATATTTTAATGTGAGAATATGTATTTAGAAATAAATTTTAATATTATTTTAAATATTCTAAAATAATAATTAAATAAAATAATGCATTCTTCGAACTTTATACATATTCTTCACATTAAAAAAAACATATTTTTCAAAATCATAAACACTTTAAATCCTTAAACTTTATACATATTGTTCCAAAATTCAACAAAAACATATTGCTTAAAATAATAAATACTACAATTACTTGATAGTCCATTCTTACAATTAGATTATACATGAATACCGACTTAAGAAATAAAAATAAAATAAAAAACTTAAATCTTGTCAGCTCTTTATCAAATTCAAATTCACAATCTCCTCTTCTTCATCCAATTTATCATTTGTGTCATTCGAAGCAAAATTATCTTCATCAAGCTCCTTTATTTCAACTCGAAAATTTCTATCACATCTATAAATGGTAAGATATCAATATCAACATCTTCCTCATCATCACAAGCATCAACAATAAAAAATTGTGCATTACTAGCATCACTTACTAGTAAAGTTTCTAATTTATCATTCATCCTCTTTTGTTTCACC